AATTCTAAGTAACTTATAGTACCTAATACTACTTTATAGAGAGTAGACTTACTTATAAAATAGAAATCCTAAGTAACTTATAGTATTCTACTCTAAGTAGAGTAGACTTACTTAAGAAATAAATAGCCTAAGTAACTTATAGTACTCTGCTTTAAGCAGAGTAGATCTATATAATAAATAGAAGTATATTTTTATAAAACCTTTTTCTATACTTACTATAATATTAATATTTTAAGTCTTTTTAACCTTAACCTAATTCTTCTACTTAGATTATTACTTTATTATATATCTATTTAAGTAGTATTAAATATTATATATCTTAAAATATACTTAATCTAAAATCTATTATCTTACTTTTTAAAAGAATATAAAACAACTCTTAACTACTATAACCCTAATAATATTTAAATTTTTATTATTTATAATTACTTTAATAAAAAACATTATTTAAAAACCTAATAGTATTTATTCTTAAACTAAAATACTAAGAATTTCTTTTCTTTTTAAAGTTAAAAAGTATCTTTACTATCTTATAACACTTTTTATCTTTAAAAGATAGAAATTACTAAGTTTTAAGAAAGATAAAAAGCCTATAGATCTATTTTAAAGAGCTAAAACTAGTACTTAGTTAAATAAAATTAGAATAAGTATTAAGATAATTATTAGAGTTATTAAATCTTAAAAGGTATTATTTAGTAATTAATAAAAGAAGATAGGTAAAGATAAGTAATAATAGGTAAAGATAGGTAAAGATAGGTAAAGATAAGTAAAGATAGGCTAAAATAGGTAAAGATAGGCTAAGATAGGTAAAGATAGGCTAAGATAGGTAAAGATAAGTAAAAATAGCTAAAGAATAAGTATAGTTATAAGTAGATCTTACTATTTAGATTTTACTATATACGCTAAGTATTAGCGCGTATATATAGACTATAATAGTAGAGATTTAATAGTAAAATTAGTATATCTAGTTATATTAGGTATTTAATTTTTATTACTAGCTAATATAGAATATATAACTAGTATTACTTTTTATTTCTTTTTTTTTAAAACTTTATACTAATATTTAGTATTAGTTTAAAACTACTTATTTTAATTTAGTATTAGCTTAAAACCCTTTAAATAGAATTAACTCTATTTAACTTTCTTTAAATATAGAATAGTAAATAACTTTTTAAAATAAAGAAATATAGTATTAAAACCTTTAAAAAAAAAAGTATAAAGTAGAATATATATAATAGTAGTAGTATAGTATAATAAAATAAAGTTCTAACTGTAATATTATTACTATTAGACCTTTATTTATATTTTAATTTTTACTATATTCTACTAAATTTTAGAGGTATCTATAACCTAAAGAAGTAAAATATATTATAATAAAGTAATAAGATTAATATATTTTACTAATAAAAAATTATTATAATAGGCTAGGCCTAGTAAACCTTTAATTAGTAAATCCTTAAAACTTAATAGCTTTAACTACTAATTTTTACTTTTAGCTAGCTTATTAAAATTAGCTAATATACTACTAGAAAAGATTATAAGTAAAAAAAACTTAGTACTATAGATTCTTAGTAAATTAATTTACTTTATAATAGTAACTACTCTTAGAGTTAACTTCTTATTTATAATATTTACTATTAAAAATTTTATATTTACTTTTATACTAATCTAGATACTATAAAATATAAATTAAAAAAAAAGTTTAAATTAAATATAATTTTACTTAACTTTTACCTAGAGTTTAATTATTTATAACTTAACTTTAACCTAATACTAGTATTTAAATATTAGGTTAAAGTTTAGTTAAAGTAGATAATATACTAGGTTAAAGTTAAGTAAAAGTTAAGTTATACTTATATAAGACTTTATTTCTACTTTACTCTAACCTATTTACTAGTATTAGTATACTAACTAGAATAGCTTTTACTTATATATCTTTTTTCTTTAAATTTAGATTATATTAGTTATTTTTTATAATATATATATATAAGTAATAAATCTAACTTTACCTACTATTTTATCTATCTATAGTATTAAATATTAAGGCTTAAGACTATAGGAATTTATCTTATTAAGAGAATTAATGCAAGGAGAATTGCAATATAGAAATAAGAAGAAGTAAGAAGCACAACAAGAGTAGTAGGAAAGACAAATTCAAGAAGAAGGAGTAATCTACTTTAACGTTTTGTATAGTTATTTGGTCGTTTCGTTATGCTTATTAATCGTTAACTATACCAACGCGATTACATCCCAACTTATCCCATTACCGCTGAAACACATCAGCATTAGCGATAATCAACTTAATCCCCTCACTCCTATAAGTGTCCGGCTCCGCATAACTAGACACATTCGCATCGAAAACATAGTCGAGCGGATTCGCCACATCGTACGCCGGCCACAGCGCCTCCGTCCCATTCCACGCATACGTCTCCCTCCACGAATTCGGATCAAGATCATGCACGAAGCTAACCCAGCTGCTATCCATCAGTCTGGCGAGATTACGATAGCTCTCGGTCTTGTTGGCGAACGGCGGAACAGAAACAGGCGGATACCCCACGCCCTGGAGATTGAGAAACACAAACGCGACTTCTTGGAAATGCGTGACGCCAATTTCAGCGGGAAGGCCGGCGGGAATCGCGTTGAAGCGGAAGCAGTATGCTGGCACGCCGGCGGCGGCCCAGGTTCGACATGTTAGCCGGCGGTTGGCGATGAAGAATTGGTCGCCGTAGTACGATGCTGAACGCCGGAATTGCGCGCCGTATGCTGGTCCTGGCCGAGTGTTTCCTAGGCTGGCAATCACGTTGACGGAAAGATCGTCGGGGTAAGCAGCTAGGATCTGGTTTCCTAGCTCGGTCGACACGTTGCCGCGCTGGCCGTTTGTGACGAGGTTGAAGAAGGCCTCAGATGTGTTGACTGGGCGAGGGCTGAACGCTGAGCCTTCGTCGGAATTCGCACCGGATATGATTGGGACGTGTACGAATTCTCCAGCCGCGAGCTGAAGTGAGGTGCGCTTTTGGATGAAGTCACCGTCCAGAATGGGCTGGAATTGGGTTGTGTTTAGTGTCGTGCTTGTGGTGTTGATGGCGATGTTGAGTTGATCTGCAGGTAAATATCTCAGACATTCGAGTGGGCTCGAGGCGTTGGTACAGGGCGTCCGGCTGAGAATGGTATTGTACATGGCTCGATTGCCGAGCGGATCCAACAACTTTTGGTAGAAGACGGGGTTACCACTCTCCATAATCGCGGCTCGGAACAGCTTATCGTCTCGGCCGCCGTAGGCTGTCAGATGGAAGCCTACCGCTGCAGCACCTGCACTCTCTCCAAACACAGTAACCTTCTCTGAGTCGCCTAACCCCATATCAGTCTCGAATCGACGTTCTAATCACACGGGACAAGTACCTCCAAAAGCTTTGATGTTCTCCTGAACCCACTGAAGGGCAAGTCTCGAATCCCTCAAGCCAAGGTTCATGTTTCCACTGTCTCTGATCTCTTCGCTTCCACTCAAAAAGCCCCAAGCACTGAGCCTATAGTTGATGTTCACGCCAATAATAGGCTTTCCGATTCTGACAGAGTTCTCAACCATAAAAGAGATGTTGTAGCGTTTATCGATACCTGAGCCTTGGTAGAAGCCTCCGCCATGAATCCACAGAGCAACAGGGAGATTTTCATGCTTATAGCCAGATGGCCTGATCACGTTGAGGTATAGGCAATCCTCCGAAACGGCATAACCCCACTGATCGGAGCCATAGCCGTAACACTAGAGACCCGACGTTAGCGTGAGCTAGTCAACACGGTGAGATACATACTGCACTGGAGTATTGCACAGCTGGTCTTGCATCGCTCCAGCTCTGGTTCAAGCTCGCTGGATTTCTGAAGCGTAAACTCCCAACAGGCGGTTGTGCATATGGAATGCCAAGAAAGAAGTCCTGGTTATAACTCGCTGAATGCACTCCGACGTATGTTCCGTTCTTGACATGGGCGGTCGGGGTTGAGTGATTCCAGTGGCTGCTCACCAGGCCGAACAAAAAGGCAAATGCCACGGCAGTTGGGCGAAGCATAATGAGATGAGAGTGCAGTAAAGTAGAGAAAAAGCGGCGAGCATGTCGTCTATATGCGTTCTATTGAAGTACCGAAATCAATCGTGTCTACCGAGCACGGCGGGTCGAAAGATAGCTCATCCAGACCTCATAGACCTTTCTCCATAACCTCCTCGGCATTTGTTCTTCAAGTGACTCCCGTTACATAGGTTGGTGTCTTGCGGGGAAATCGTGTCTTCGTGGCACGGCAGAGCCAGATTTGGAAACGCGTCTAAGGTGTGGTGTCTGATTGGTTAGAAATTTCCCGACAATTACCCACAAGAAGAAAGTCTTGCATGAGGTGAGCAGGGATAAATCATGGGGTACGGGGTGTGGACGGCAGTCGTAAATCCTTTTTGATCGCGTGAGTCGCACACAAAGCGATGAAGTAAAGACCTCGGTTGAGAAAGCTTTCAATAAGGAAGCAAGTACAGAAATGGATGCCAGCTCAACCTTAGTCGTCCGTCAAGATCACGCTGGAAAGCAGTAACCCTACAGAACAGGTCCAGTATCATGAACGTTCAGGCAGACAGAGGCCAAAAGAGGATGTGAGAGCGAACATCGGAGGGTGGAAAACAACAATGACGTTGCTAAAAAGTGAGGCCCATGCTTACGGGAGCGGAGATAAAGTTACTGCCGATCTCCGGGCCGCTTGTCCTCCAACTTCTAAGACCTCTTTTCATTGGCTCCGCTTCCTTCTCTTGCGAAACGATCGGGAGCGGAGAGGCTGGTCTGCAACCGCTTTCCAGCAGTAGCAAAAGGCTGATTCGATTTCGGAGAGGAATAAGATATGGGAAAGGCAACACTCTTGTTCGCGGTGCCGTACCAGATGTACATAAAAGAGCGCAGGAGTATTCACTTCCCAAGGATACAGCCGCTCATACCTGGACAGTTACGAATTTTCAAACTACTCAGTCTAACCCCTTGTTACTCTCACTGCATCAGACACTATGAGTACCGGTAGAGCAGCACCTACTCGCGTTTGCGATAAGCCGGTCGGTCCAATAGGCTATGGATTACTGAGTAACTGATATTAATGCGCATATGACAGAACCGCGTTAACGTTATATGATCTAGGCTTGACAATGCCGGCCCCGTTTCCCCAGACCGAACGCGAAGTAGCAGTCCAATGCTTAAGAAGCGCGTTAGAACAGGGTGCGAATCTATGGAACGGTGTACGTTGGAATCTGCACGAACTCACAAATCTGAACTCTACGTATGATGAAGAAACAACTAATATCCTGTAGGGTATTCATTACGGCACCCCTGAAGCAAATTCGTTGCACCTCTTGAAATACTACTTTGAGAAGTACCCTGAGGACGTCGAGAAAGTCGTACTCAGCATCAAAGGTGCCTACGGCTCCAAAACGGGACCTACAGGTAGCCCTGAAGCAATTCGCGCATCTGTCGAGGAGGCCCTACAAGGGCTAGGGGGTATGAAGACTATCGATGTCTTCGAAATGGGTATTGACTATGCCATGTACCTGGCAAAAGAATGCTGACAAATTACGTAGCGCGCGTGGACCCCAATACCCCCATTGAGACTTCTGTCAAAGCTCTGGCCGAACTGGTTGAGGAGGGCAAGATTGGCGGTGTCGGCCTGAGCGAGGTCAGTGCGAGTACTATCCGCAAGGCTCATGCCATACACCCTATTGCGGCGGTCGAGGTGGAGCTGAGTTTGTTCACACCCGACCCGCTCCATAATGGCATTATGGACACCTGTCATGAACGTATGTATCCAGTGAGGAGTTATATATCAGAGCGATTCTAACAGAATGATCTATATAGTCGGTATTCCAGTCGTCGGTTACAGTCCAGTTGGCCGGGGTTGGCTGACAGGCCAATACAAAAAGGTTGATGATCTCCCACCAAACGATTTCCGCCACATGTTCCCTCGCTTCAAGCCTGAGGTCTTTGATCAAAACTACAAACTTGTCGAGGCTGTGACAAAGGTTGCCGAACGCAAAGATTTGAAGACATCGCAGGTGGCTGTAGCCTGGGCCGCTCGCCAGGGCGCAATTCCTATTCCCGGCTCGTCCAACGTTGACCGTGTCGTATTGAACAGCAAACTCTCGGAACTGACCGAAGAGGACATGCGGGAGCTCCAAAAGGCCCTTGATCTCTTCCCGATTGCTGGCGAACGTTATGGCGGCGCGCATGAGAAGTTGCTCAACGCTTGAGTGAACATACGGTTATCAGTACCGTGAAGGCTATTTCGGTAGAAGTTTGGTCACTATAGCTAGAGGGGAAATTGAACGAGCTTTGGCGGTATTGATGTCCATGTTGCCATGAACCGTCGGACTTAACACATCTATACCGGACGGAGATTACAACACCAGCTTACCTGTTTCGGATTAAAGCCTCTTAAGTAGATCTTTAGTAAGGTCATCAACGCCTCCTTCCTACTATCCTTCAATTCCAACCTCTGTAACCAATCTGTTCCTCAAGTACAGTGACGGAAACAATGCAGGACATACCTGTATCAGTGTCAGAAGCTCATAACAGTTCCACAGCTGCTTTGCGCTCTGGATCGTGTGTCGTTTGTACCAAAGCTAAGAGCAAGTGTGTACGACGTCCTGGTGACATCGTTTGCGAGAGGTGCGTTTTCACATATGGCTAGACAATATCCAGGTACATGAAGGGCATTCAAGGTAAGTCCAAAGGACTGACTGACTCCCTGCAAAGATGCGCGAGATTACAGAAAGACTGCCGTATCAAGGAGCCAGTCAGGCGCAAACGAAATGCAATCAAAGCCACGTACGTTTAGTACTTTCATTTCTCATACATGTAGGTCGAGGTGTTCTCCTCGACAGTTGCAACGTAGCGCTCGTAGTTACGAAATCGGGCCGACATTGATATGACGTAGTCTACAATTGTAGTCTACGACCAACTACAATTACAGACGTTGACTCCCGCATAGACGCACGGCCCAGCTGAGAGATCTCGAGACCAAGCTCGAAGATATCGCTCAAGCCTTGTCCTCTGGGCAGGCTCAGGGCCCATCAACAACGACCGCATCGGACACTTCTCCGTCACATCGTGTGCTGCGACCTCTGCATCAATCTGTCGGAAACGTCAGTCAGCTACCGCCCTCGGGTGATCTCCAAAGCACCACCGCTTCTAGTCACTCTGCTCCATCTGTGCACGCACATCCCGAAAGGCCAAACAGACTTGAATCAGACGGAGCTTCGGTGAGCCTACATGAAAGTGAGGTCTTGTTTGACCGCTATCGACGATTGATGGCGCCCTGCATGCCTTTTGTGATTCTTCCCGTTGATATAAACGCGTCCAGTCTAGCCAGTATCAAGCCGTTCTTGCTGCAGGTCATCACCACTGTGGCATTCTTCCATGACACGGCCAAACAGCAAATCATGGCGACAGATGTTATGCGTCAGGTTTCTGAGAGAATGCTAATCCAGGGAGAAAAGTCGATGGATCTGCTCCAGGGCTTGCTCGTCTTCTTGAGCTGGTTCAACCCTCACTCCTTCCTCCCCCAGAACCATACCAACTTTCTTCATCTTGCTATGGCGCTCACTGTCGATCTCAATATTGATCGTATGCCCGGCTTATGCGAGAAGGTCGCGATGGAGGCTGCATCGAAAGCGCATGGGATACCCCAACCAGCCAAGACCATATCCAACGACGAACGTCGGGCTGTCATTGGCATCTTCTATTTGACATCGCAGATCTTCACTTCATTCAGAAAGGTCGATACTCTGAAATGGACGCCTTGGCTCACGGAGTGTGTCAATGTGCTGATCCACGCTCAAGAATACGGAAGCGATACATTCCTCGTGCAACTCGTGCAAACGCAGCGCATCATGCACGAAGTCATGTCCACCGAGTACGATCACGCGCCAGTACAGTTCTATGCCAAATCGTTTTTGAGCGACCTTGATAGTATTGGATCTCCAAGTGGAGACGGTACTATGGCGACTGTGCGGCGCTTACAATATGCCTGCACACGAACTGCGATTTGGGAGCGCTCTTTCGCAACTCTGACTGCAAACAAGGTCAAAGAAAATGACCTCCGGCAACGGTTAGATGGTATGTGGCGTTGCATGGAGGCTGTGAAAGCTTACATTGATGTATACATGGAGATGCCCCCAGAGGACTATCTGTTTGTTCCGTTTGGGGTCTTTGCCCAATTCGCGTACATTTTCGTGGTTATCATCCGAGCATCGTCTATCACAACAGACGGTTGGGATGTCAAGGCCCTCCGTGAGTACATCGACTTCTCTACGCTTATGGAAGAAGCTTCGCGCCGTTATGAAGCCGTATCCAAGAGCCGTCCAGATGGACTTCACTTGGAAAACGATGCGTTTAGCAGATGGTCCGCCAAAACTCGTTGGTTGAAAGCCTTCTATGACACTAAGTTTATGTCTACGACGTCGGACCAACAAATCGTAAATCGCACGGGGCCTGAAGGTCTCAGTCCAGGCGATCTCATCACGAACCAAGGTGTCCATCCAAGACATGTAACACTTGATTTGGAATCGCAATGGCAGCTGCCGACGACGCTTGGCAATCCCCCAAACCCTCCTACTGAGTTCCTACCGAACCTTGGGGAGACCTTCTGGCACACTTTGGACGATCCGCTGCAATATGAAGGGAGTTTCGACGTTGAACTCAGCAATTTGTAGAAGATTCAAGGCCATCCACGATAGAAACTAGCCTGGTGATTCGAGCAGAAAGTCCTATGAATCTGTCGAAATCATCAATGGCAGATTGAATGATGTAGATCATTTTGTACACTTGCTATCTGGAGAGGGAGGTCTTCTTAGATGACCAATTGCCGCTATGTTAGTCATCCTTTTAGTGCATCTGTAGGATGCGAGCCATGTATCCAACGCCAGCTCTGTCTTTGTAATCCCCGTACTTGTGTCTGTGAATCTCGGTTCTGTACGAATCTAAACAAGTAATCCGCCACAAGATTGCGAGTAATTGATCTAACGGCTGTCAGTAGATATCTTTAGGACAGACTGAGCTAGTAGCTACGGCAAGGAACGCGGGCTGTATTCCTATTTGCTCGATTAGCACTACTCCCTGTCGAGAGACTCGGTTATCGCAGCCGGGACCCTTTGCTAATTATACTGGAAATGACTCCGTCCCGGTGTTGTTCAACTGCCCAATCAAAATGAAGGAAGAAAGAAATGTGTGAAAAAGGAGCGAAGAACAAGATTTGTGAAAGATGAGGTGTGTTTGAGTAGGTTCAAGATTACAAATCCTTTGCTTTCACTCTGTACGACAGAGATCTGGGTTGCAGTCGAACATGCTTACAGCAATCTATATATTTGAGAGTGTAGAATCAACGTCATTGAAAATAATATTAAAGGGCTGAGGTACATCCACGAGCCAGGTCCTTTGCGAACTTACTCCACATCAAACAATAAAAGCAAAAACAAACTGTTAGAGAGAACCTGGTCTAGCCTAATGTAGCTCCAGTCAAGTTCGGATGCTATCCGATGCATTAGTGTACCTCTGATGTCGCGCCTGGGTTTCATTCATGCTCTTTGATTACAAATAGCGTTGAAGTGAAATGGACAAGGCAATATGGCAAGAAGATTCATCAATGAACACAAATGGCAAGTCCGGGATAATTGACTTAGTTGTTCCACAACGAGCTTACGATCAGATTCGGATCTACGTTCACGATCGAGCTCGGGGTCATGCCGGTTATCCGAGCCGATCTAGATCAAGGTTGCTACCAAACGGATACATGAGGGTTGGTTCAAGACGTCAGTTCGCGATCTGGGCCGCAGATAACCATCTAACATTGCACGCTAGATGTAGTGCATCGAACCGCTTTTATACTAAAGTATAGTTGACCTCGCGATTATGCAAATGGTACATCCCAAATCATGAGCATAATCACGGATGCCGGCATATACAAAGGCTTCCGCGACAATGCCGCGCTTAGCTTACCAGTACCTGCAATATACGCTCACTCTTCCAGTTCTAGACCTAGGGAACGCATAGAACATCCCAAGGTGTCAAAGACATGCTCAAAGTAGCCTAGTACCCATCGCAACGTTTCCTCGTCCCGACATCCCCGCGCCTTCCGGTGTGATAGGGGCGTTTGTGGCATTTTAAACATTTTGGAATTGCCATGGTTCATATATATGCGCAAGGCTCACGTACGGAATATGGGCTTGTTTTCCGATCCCACAAACCTTCCGTGCGATCTGTAGTTCACGACTTTCGCGATCAGATTAGATGGATGCTCGAAGTAGCCTCATTGGCGTGACTGTTGCTATGCTCGTCATAAGTTGGCTGGCTGTTATAACGCGTATTTGGGTGCGGACATGGGTCAAGGCTCTGGGAATAGACGACTGGTTAATGCTCACTGGCTTGGTATATCTCCAACACAGATCGACGTTGGAGTTAAGAGCTGATTCAAGAGTAGGTGTCATTCTCCATGTCTGCCCTGTTCATCCTCATGTCAGCATACCACGGTATTGGCCTGCTAGATGTTAATCTAGATCCATCTATCGCACCAGTTGGGGTCAAGGTATGTTCTGTAAAGCTAGACAAGACAGTTGTCTCTAACACGATACAGTGGTTCTGGGCTGGTATGGTCACTTACCCTTGCGCCTCGTCCATCGTCAAATCCAGCATCTGCACAGCGCTTCTCCGCATCACCAGCCTCAGGCGATACCGAATTCCACTCTACAGCGTCATAGTGCTGAGCTTCTTTGGGTTCGTCATACCCACCCTCGCGATCTTACTATCGTGCCGTCCCATCGCAGCAAATTGGGATCCCAGACAAGGCACCTGCCAAAGCCCCCAACTTCTCATCAACGCTGGCTACTACTATTCAGCAAACTGTATTATTACAGACTGGACTTGTGCCATCCTCCCGGCTTTCATCCTGTGGGATGTGCAGCTCAAGCTGCGGATCAAAGTGTCTATCATCGTGATGCTCGCGTTTGGTGTAATGTGAGTCTGCTGTCACGATGGGATGATATGTGGAAAATTGACGGAAGCTGCAGTGCCAGTATAGCCACCATAGGCCGCGTCGCAACCATCAGTGGTTATGGCAGCACAGTGAACTACCTGTACCATCTCGCCCGCATCGGTATCTGGTGTGTGCTTGAATGTGGTATGGGCATAGCCGCTGGATCCCTTGCTACTTTTCGACCCTTGTTCCGCTTCATCCCGTTCCTTCGCTCTTCAATCGCTGGCACGCATTCCAATGCAAGGAACGACCCCGTCTTTCATTTGGAGGAGGTTAGTCGAAACCATGCATTCGGTGATGAAGCTCATGAAGAAGCCGAATATATGGAAAGATCAGACGCGGAGAGCCAGAAACATATCCTCAAGGACACAAAAGTCTATATATTCAAGTCAAGATAGTATCACGAAGAAAGCGTTGTACTTTGAAGAAAACCACGATTTACGTTGACACTCGCTTCTTCCCATCTAACTGTTGACGATTGGCAGATTCGAATCCACCGTCCTTCAAGGTCGAGCTAGTTCATCAACATCAGGACACGCAAATCGTACTGAGAAGACCGTTGGAACCCAGCCAAAGGCCAGTAACTCAAATCGAAGTAGATCAAGCAGAGCTGCTTCGCTGTCGACAAACCAAAATCCCAACAGAACACAATAACCATGTTGATAGAGTACTAACCTCAGTGGGTAACAGGGAGATGTGTTTGCATCAGCAGGCATATTTTGAAAATCCAAAGTACAGCTTCTGGGACTGATGTTGGATAACATTGTATGTTCAGCGACATAGCTTGATTGTAGGTGTTTCGACTCGTGAAGGCTCCGTCTAAGCAACGCCAGTAATCGTGTGTTACATATACGCCAACTCTCTCTGAAATGAAGGGTTACCAGCAAACTATACCAGCAACCGGATGTGGTGAGATCAACAGAGAGTTTGCGTTGTTGGAGAGCTGAGATCAGTTGTGTTTGTCGCGAAAGATTTATCCTAGCAAAACAACAGGCTATAAATAACATACCAATGGGAAGCTGGATGTTGCCAAAGGTGTTCTGCATGTATCTCTCCAGAGAAGCAGTCTGTCATGCCATAATGCAGCTGTGGAAGCATGCTTGCGATTGAACGATGGAGTCGTGCTTATACTGACGTTCGTTGATTGTTCTTGGGGTAAACAAAATGAGGGTCCTAGCAATAGTATCGCAACATGCAAATGACATCAATCACTGCTCAGGCTGAGTGCGATGCGCGATCGTTGAGTTCACCATCGCGTCAATGGTGAAATGAGCATCGAGAAATCTAAAGTACAACAACAAGGTCCACGTGCTCGCGACAATAGTGTGCTGTAATCCTGGAGTCGCAACGTCGCAACGCAAAGCTCGGTGTACGTGTGCGGAGATGTGGACTCATGCGATAGGTGAAGCAAGCAGGCAGGTCATGTGGGGGCAGGGATCAGGCGGCTAACGATGAGGTAGATAGATTACCTCAACACCATGCATCAATGAACTCGTACACATCCCTTCCCAAGCTTCCAGAGACATAGAAAGACCGGTCACCTACCACCGCCCACTCCATCGTTGGGGTTCTAACATTGTTGACGCATCCTTGGCGCCTACATCACCGCCTCCACCTCGGCCTAGGTGCTCACCGATCCTCGCTCGCATCCACGGCGCCGTACCACACACACCTCGCCCTCTCCCCCACACCTCACAACCACCTACACACAATGGCGTCGAGAAAGAAGGTCCTCCTCAAGGTACTGCAGCTTCGCGCATGGTGTGCAGGCCGTGTCTGACGTGTCACAGGTCATCATCCTCGGAGACAGCGGCGTGGGCAAGACGAGCTTGATGAACCAATATGTACGGCTCCACCCAACCAACAAAGACTCGATATGGAAGAATTTCGCTTACGCAATTGCGATAGGTCAATAAGAAGTTCAGCGCGAGCTACAAAGCCACGATAGGCGCCGACTTCCTCACCAAGGAAGTGCTGGTCGACGACAGGCTGGTGACGATGCAGGTGCGTGTTACAGCAGCAGGCGCAAAGGAGTATAGGCTGACTGGAAATAGCTCTGGGACACTGCCGGCCAGGAGCGCTTCCAATCGCTAGGTGTCGCCTTCTACCGTGGCGCCGACTGCTGCGTGCTGGTCTACGATGTCAACAACTCCAAGAGTTTTGACACACTGGACAGCTGGCGGGACGAGTTCTTGGTCCAGGCTAGCCCCATGGACCCGGAGAGCTTCCCTTTTGTGAGCGACTCCCGTACTGTGTTGAGAGAGAGCTAGGACTAACTCGAGCAGGTCGTACTCGGCAACAAGATCGATGTTGAGGAGAGCAAGAGAATGGTCAGTCTGAGAAGCTGCGTGTGTGTGAAGTATCGCTAACAATCGCGACAGATCTCTTCCAAGCGCGCCATGACGTTCTGCCAGTCCAAGGGTGGCATCCCGTACTTCGAGACGAGCGCAAAAGAGGCCGTCAACGTCGAGCAGGCTTTTGAAGGTACGCACTTGTATTATTCATGTTTGAATGGGACAAGCTAACTGACGCGCTGCAGTCATCGCACGCCAAGCCCTTGCGCAAGAAGATGTGGGCGATTTCAGCAACGACTTTCCCGAGACGATCCCCATCGACCTCAAGGGTAACGAGGGTGGATGCGCCTGCTAGTCTATGCCGTTTTATCATGAAGGTTGTCCCACCAAGTGTTGATGTCCGTCTCGCCATAATGTAGTCTTCCGTTGGAGTTTATACGGAGTCTGGTGCACAGCATACTTTGCGCGATGAAGAGGCGCCTCCTCTTACGTTCAATCTCCCATTTGGTAGCTGGTTTCGGGTCGTCTTTCACTTGTAATTGCATAACGTTATTACATTCGCCTGACCAAGACTGTTTTGTGATGACGTAAGACATAGTTCGCACACGCGACTCGTCTGAAACATGTACCCTGATGACCCCTGCCCCAAGACTCCTCCACATTCTAAGGCACCGACTCCCCACCATTCGCGCACCGTGTTATCTTTCCCCTCGACTCTTCCATGGTCGCACTACCATCTCATGCCTCGACACGATCACGGTCCGTGAGCATCACTAACGCCACATCTAATATCACCCGGCGACCTCCTTAACTATTGGACCCATAATTGGATATATCCTCCTTCAAACACGTCTTACTTTGGCAAAATGGCAGACCCTACTCACACAACGCCGCTCAGTCCGCGCACTAGCGATGTCTCGGATTACCTTTGCGACAACGACTTCATGGAGAACTCTATCGCGCTCACTCATACACGCTCACGGGCCAGTGAGGCCAGTACACGGAGCGCAGGCGAGAAGACGAGACAACACAGCAAACTCCGACACGCGATAGGGATAGCACTTCTTCTCGCGACGGTGTTTCTATGGACGGCCAGTAATTTCATGTCGAGCGTACGTTTCCACCTCCTGCTTCAAAAAGCAAGAATACATCAGGGCTGACTTGAACGTAGTCGATATTCGCAGACTCGTCCTACTCGAAGCCCTTCTTCGTGACGTATATCAACTCGGCTTTCTTCATTTTCCCGCTTATCCCTATGCTCCTACACCACTTCTGGGCCGACCGCGCGAACCCCACACACCGCCAACCCCTCCTCGTACAATGGCGCAACTTCGTCAACCGCCGCGCAGGCAGATGGACACTCCTCCGCGACCACGAACAGCACTCCTCCTCCTTGTCGTCGAAATCGCACACAGAATCCGGCAGCGCAGCAACCGAGCTCCTACTCGGCAACTCCCCGCACGAAAGCACGGAGAGAGTCGACTCGCTAGAAGAAAGCCTCACCCTAAAAGCCACAGCCAAACTCAGCCTAGAATTCTGCCTCGTCTGGTTCCTCGCAAACTACTTCGCCGCCGCGTGTCTCGAGTACACAACCGTCGCATCCAGCACAATCCTCGCCTCCACCTCCTCCATCTGCACGCTCATCTGCGGCGCGCTCCTCCGCGTCGAGCGCTTCACATTACGAAAATGCATCGCAGTCGGCGCCTCCCTCGCGGGCGTCGCACTCATAAGCAGCATCGACGTATCGGGCGAAACGGACGAAAACCGGGGCTCGTTCCCGCACAAATCCCCGCGCGAGCTCGCCCTCGGGGATACCATGGCTTTCGTCTCCGCGGTGCTGTATGGCTTCTACGCCGTGCTGATGAAGAAGCGCATCGGCGACGAGTCCCGGGTAAACATGCCGCTGTTCTTCGGCTGCGTGGGCTTGTTCAACGTCCTCCTCCTCTGGCCTGGTCTCATCCTCCTGCACATGACGGGCGTGGAGCGCTTTTCGCTCCCCCCTACGCGCAAGATACTCACTCTCGTGCTTGTGAATAGCGCGTCGAGCCTTGTGAGCGACTTCTGCTGGGCGTATGCGGTGTGTTTGACGAGTCCGTTGATTGTTACCGTGGGATTGAGTTTGGCGATTCCGGTCAGTCTTATTGGGCAGATTGTGCTGGATGGGCAGTATGCGGGGGTGTGGTATTGGGTTGGGGCGGTGGTTGTGGTGTTGTCGTTTGTGTTTGTTAATAAGGAGGATGATGTTGGTGTTGCTGGGGAGGGGGTGGGGGTTGAAGAGGAGAGCAGGAGGAGCTCGAGTGTTAGGGGGGAGAGGGATGCGGAGAGGGCGTGGAGGAGTGTGCATGGCGTTGAAGATGATAGATGATTGATTGATCGATACCATGGGATGGCGTTTTGGGGGGCGTTGTATAGACGGATGTTATTCATTCATAATCATATTTTTATCATTACCTCGATGACTGATCGACTGACTGATTGGGGTATCTATCTAACCACCACCCTTCATATCCTTGCTGTAATAGCTCCTGCCCCCATTACCCTGTCCCTTGCCATTCCCCCTCCACTTCCCACCACCACCGCGATAACTCCTCTCCCGCCCCTCGTCCCTCCTCTCCTTCCCCAGTTCCCCCTTCCGCGCCTCCCAACTCTCATCACTCTCAAGTTCCTCCGCCTCCCACCCCTCCCGCTGCATGGAATCCTCGAGATGTTTCTGCACTTTCGGCTCCCACACCTCCGGGCCAGCAGCCAGGTCGGTATATTCGAGCACGTTTTCGCCGAGTGTGTAGTCCCCTTGCCGTGAGCGGACGAGGGAGGACATAATGGCCAGCGACGAGCAGGAGAGGCCTAGGTCGTGGCAGAGGGAGCGGACGTAGAAGCCTGAGGTTACTGTCATGCGGAGGCGAGCAGCTGGGGGAGAGGGTTTGGCAGGTGTGGGTGTTTCGACGGGGATGCTAACTTCCTGTTCAACTTCGACGGCGGGCGTTTCTTCTGCGGGCAGGGCGCCAGACATTGCGGGTTCGCTGTCGGTGCGCGGTTTCTTAGGCTGGTCACCTGCGTTCTCGACGCTGTCGTCTGGTGTGCGGGAGCGTTTGCGACCGCGCTTTGCCGCGGCGTCTGCGTCCTCCTTGCGGATGCCGAGGAGTTTCTGCGCGCCTTCTTTATCCGCGCCGTCCATTTCCTCCGCGGGCCATGCAAAGTCGTGACTTCCCGGCTCCAGCCACTCGACGAGCTCCATCTCTTTGACTTCAACAGGCCGCGCCGCCACCTCGGGGATATCCTTTCCTTCGCGCGCATACTCGTACATTTTCTTGCCGTCGACTTTGAGGGCAGAGAAGACGCTAGGCTTCTGCAGAATCTTGCCGCGGAACTGGTCGAGTCTGCTCTCCACCAGCTCGCGCGTGACGTGCTCGTAGGCCGCTGTGCCCACCACTTTCCCCACGGCGTCGTAGCTGTCTGTCGCGGCGCCGAACAGCACAACGCACTCGTACGTCTTTGTGCACTCGAGGAAGCGCTGTAGCTGTTTCGTGCCCTTGCCCACGCCGACGATCAGCACGCCTGTCGCCATGGGGTCGAGGGTCCCGCCGTGGCCGAGCTTGACTTTGAGGTTGTCCATGTGTTTTTTGCGCGAGCCCGAGAGCGTCATGGCGCGGCGCTGGGATTCTAACCACGGTGCGAAGAGCGGCGAGCGCGCGAAGTGGTCTTGTAGGTCGCGGAGGACGCCGGCCGAGGAGGCCCATTGCGGTTTGTTGATTCCTGGGAGAAATTAATTTGTGTTCTGAATGAATGACTGTATTGGATGGTGGGAGAATATATATACCGAACACGCCTTCAATCACTCTCCGGCTTTCCTTGGGTGGAGTGGCCATGACTGTGCGTCTGAGCGTCGCAACGACGGACATGGGCGGGGTGGAGAAGCTCAGATGAAGCTCCCTCACTTCCATGCAAGCCCGTTCCTTCCCGCCAAGCCACTAGCCACTGCCGTGCATGAACGTCTGCAGCCTTACCCTTCCCATCTTCACCCAAACACCCAAACAAACACGGGACTCCCCCCCAACCCACCCGCAACCATGAGCGACACAAACAAAGACCTGCAAGACCTCGCGCGCACCACAACCGAAGACCTCTACGCCCTACTCGCCGTGCCCTTCGACGCAGAAGAAGCCCATATAAAACGCGCCTACCGCAAAGCCTCGATAAAATACCACCCCGATAAAAACCCCGACAACGCCGATGCAGCAGACCGCTTCATCTACCTCGGCTGGGCGCGCGACATCCTGCTCGATGAGGGACTGAAGGGCGAATATGACCGTGCGCGCGCGAGGCGGCGGGAGAAGAACTTGCAGGATGAGCTGCTGAGCGGGACGCGGCGGCGCATGATGGAGGATCTGGAGGCGCGGGAGCGAGCAGGGAGAGATGCCGGGGCGGGGTTAAAGAGGAAGCGGGCAGAAGATATGAGCGAAGCGGAGCGACAGGAGCAAGAAGTCCAACGCCTGGCCGAAGACGGAAAGAGACGGCGCAAAGAAGCCCAAGAGCGCCGCCGTAAACTCGACGAAGAATCACTCCCCACCCCTACCTCCACCGAGTCCGCCCCCACACCAACTTCCACACAACCAGGCGCCACCCCCGCCCTCGCCCGCACAATAAAAGCACGCTTCCACCGCTCCCCCACCACCCAGTCATGGGACAAACACACCCTCTCCACCCTCTTCGCGCGCTACGGCCCAATCGACAGCGTCGTCACCCCAAAGGACAAGAAGATCCGCGACTCGGGCGCCAAGCACCGCCGTCTCGTCGCCGTCGCTTTCATCGTCTACACGCGCGTCGATCACGCGTATGCTGCTGTGGCGGATGCGATGGCTGATATGCCTGCGCTGGAATCTGTGGGCTGGGCGCACGCGGAGCCCGATTTGAAGGGGCCTGGTGGGGAGGCGGAGGCGGAGAGGGAGAGGGAGAGGCCATCTGCGCCGTCGACGCCCATCGCCAAGTCGTTCAGGACGTCGTTTGGCCCGGGTATGGGCGGGAAGGGACTGGGTGGTACGACGACGCCGCTCGGCACGCCAAAATTCTCCTTCAGTCCCAAGACGCCGAGTCTCGAGGAGGTGACCATGATGCGGCTCAAGCAGGCGGAGAAGAAGAGGTTGGAGGAGCAGATTCGCAGGCAGGAAGCTGTGGAGGAGGCTACTACCTCATAATCACGACCAGTGAGCGACACGGCATGAGTTTGATAATAATTCCGAGATACCCATTTTTATTTTCTGCCCCATCTACTACAAATCCGAAATACATCAACCTACCACTACTGCTACTACGAACTCCACTCCTTAAACGCCTTCTGCTTCTGCCGCGAATTCCACTGCAGTGACCGACTAATGCTATCGATCCAATCCGTGCCCCTACGATCCAACGGCAGCACACACGGATACGGGAACCGACTGGCGCTGATGGTCACGTAGTCGCCGGGCTTGAGTTCGACGCGCTCTCTCCCGTCGAAACTGGCCCACGAGCTGGTTCTTGCGTCGTACGGCACGCCTGCGCGCAGCACAATCGTGTCGGGCAGGATGATTGGACGGAAGGAAAGTGTGTGTGCGCAGATGGCGGTCAGAAGTACGACGGGGTTGTCGGGGTGGCAGAGCGAGCCGCCGGCAGCGAGATTATACGCCGTACTGCCTGTGGGCGTGGAGATACAAATTCCATCTGCCTGGATGGTAGTGAAATGCTCATCATCGCCGAAGAGTTCGATCGAGGACATTGTCGGGTTCGGGCCGCGGTCTACCACCACCTCGTTGAGAATGTTGTGCGTGCCGTCGGGCTTGTGCGTGTGGTGGTCCTCTGCTTCCTCGCCGATCAGCTCCTCGACTAGATCGCGCTTGTCGCCGTCGCGCTCTTGGGACCGCATGATGGTTGCTTCGAAGCGGAGACGCAGGTTCACTGTGATGCCCTCTTCGAAGGCGCGCGTCAGCGTGACGGGGTACTCTTCGAAGTCGAATTTTGTGAGGAAACCGAGGGAGCCCAGGGAGAAGGCGAGGACGGGTGGGACAATGCGTTGGAAGAGCCAGGATGCGTAGAGCACGGTGCCGTCGCCGCCGAGCTGGAAATTTCGTCAGTTATAGCGCAGGTTATGAATGCCGTGTAAACGTACAGCTAGAATGATATCAAACGTTTGTGGCTCTCGCGCGCACATCTCGTTCGTCCAGAACTTCAGGTGCCCCTTGTACGACGGGTTCTTCTCCAGTAATCCAGCTGCATCGAAGATCTTGTTATTCTCCATCGTATGCTCGACATACCTGCCCTCTATTAGCACCATCCCCCACAACCCCAACACCCCGTCCGTTTCGACATGCAACTCACACATTAAACCCCGGATTCTTAGTCAACAGCCAATCCACCGTCTCGCGCGAATACCCAATCAACGCCTCATCATGCGCCTTCCCCAGAATAAAAATATTCTTAACATTGAGCTTCAATCGAATCTGGCTCAACTTCTTCGACAGATCGCGAATCCCATACGCCATATCCGAGATCTGCTTCTTGGTCAGCAGCCGCGAGTGCTGCGTCTGGTCGGCCAGGGCATGTGGATCTTTATCCATGCGCCGCTCCTGCGCCAGCCCCTCGTAGGATGCGACGTGGTCTTCCACCGGGCGCCCTTCGTGCTTCTCCAGCAGCGTGTGCACGATGCAATCCGTCATCCTGCGGCCGTTTTCGGGGCGGGTGGTCAGGCTCATGGTGTCGGAGGGGTGGCGCGCGAGGGAGGCTTTGCGGCGGTGTTGGTGTCCGCCTGTGAAGGATACCTGGTGTGAGGTTGGGGGTTAGAGGGCGGGAGTTGGGATGGGTGGGTGCGGATGTACCTCGAAGACGTCGTCTTGGGAGAAGGTTCCATTGGGGCTTGTTGTCTTGTCTTGGCCCGAAGGCTCACTCTCAGAGAGGATCTTAGCATATTATACGCAGACGATACTTGGGCGTCGCTATGACGTTGTGGGTGTGTGGATGTGAGCTCACCTCGTTGGACTCCTTCACGGCGCGCTCAAGCGCTTCATAGATGGTGTTTGACATTGCGACGTGTGACGAGTAGGAATAAAAATGGGAATGGGAATATGAATTTGTAGACTGAGGTTGTGCCTGGATGGCCTGGCTTGCAGATTGGCGGCAGGAATGTGGAGGAGTCGAGACTAGACTAGAGATTCCGAGAGGGGCATGGGATGGGATTGGAATGGCCGTTTGCCCCGCTTTAGAACGAATCACAGGCGCAAGCGGCCGAAGAGATCCGCGACTAGCTTGCTGACTCGTGACGCCATTTTCTCGAGATTCTTTGTTGTTTGAAAACTATCGACACGGATGGATATTTGTATATATGCGAAATAGGGTATATGCTCGTCAAACTCTCATAGCGGTTCTTCGATCGACTGCAGCACTTCCTCAATAACATCTTCCACCGTAACGCCATCGAGCACTGCTTTGACAGCATCAAGAGAGCTGCCCCATTGCATGCTGCGCTCATTCTCAGGCGTCGTGATGGTGATGCGATGGGGGTAAATCTTGCGCGCAGCAAGGGCGACTAATGATGGTGTGATGTAATTCAGTCCATGGAGCGGAGCGAGAGCACTGGCATTGGTTAGATGACTGAAGATGTGTAGGAAGTATGATATCACCTACTGCGCCAATATACTCAAGTGTCTTGTTGCCGTGGCGGAGATGCCTCCTGCAACTGCGCGGTGCAATCTCATAAACACCACGACGTTGTGCAGATAAGCTTGGATCTCCGAGCTGATCTTGACTTCGCCCATGAGGGCTGTGAGGTGCGCGATGTCCTGGAGTTGTTAATACATGTGTATATAAACCTTAAAGATACCATGGCTGTGCGTACTTCAGTAGACATTAAAACCGCCGGCGCCTCGCGTTTCTTCATCACATACGACGACCTGCGCACAACAGAAGACGCCGATGCATCATCTTCAAAAACACCCCCATCCTCAGCCATGACATCCTCTAGATTCGGATACCCGTCATCCACGTGATGTTTGTGCGAAATGAAGAACTGGTCGCACAGATGCAGCGTCAAGCGCGCACCGCCGAGCGCATTCAGCGCGATCAACAAGAATGGTCGCGGTGCAGCATGTACTGCCGTCCTCGTGAAGTTGCGTTTCCCTCGTATCAGCTATGCTCGTCAGCTTGACATGTCATGGCACGCTTTACACTGTTCAATGCATCGACTGACCTCAAGAGCCTGGATCTGCACGTGCGAGCTCGCCAGATTCAAATTCTTGACCACGACTACATTCGCAATGCGTCGGCCTTCCAACGGCGTGAACGACCTCGGAGATGTAAACGCAGCGTTCTTCGGCGATCCAGAGAACGACGACGACACCTGCATGTAGACGGTCAGCCGTGATTCCTCATCTCCCAAGCAAGCAGCATACCTCATCCCTCGCCCGCACGCCCCTCTCCCCAAAATAATCACCACGCTCCTCCTCGACTAAGATCCCCCGCCCAAAGTCATCCAACGTGGTGTGTTCATCGCAGTTCAGCACCGCGCACGTGAGTCCAAACACACGTGTCGCGACCTAACGTCGCGCGTCAGCCACACAACCCGTCATTGACCTCCAGCGAGTGAACCCACTAGTTGCAACTCCTGCTGCACATCGTCAATCGCGTCCTTCTCCGCTTCGACGATGCAGTGTTGGTCCGCGACGAGGCAGATGAGCACCGCGAGCTCGATGTCGCTCAACGCTTGCACTTTTGCTGTGAGAGGGTCGCCGGGATCCTCCGCCATGTTGTGAGCTGAATGCTGGTGTCGTGCGCGGTTACATGCTGAGGTAGCGGCCCGTTTACAACGAGTAACGCGAAGTTGTAGGTGGTGTTGGAATGGGGTGGGGACGCGCTTGCATGGGGGGCGTTGCGCTAGGGACTGCACAGGTCGCGAGGCCGAAGAGGTGTTTGTCGAGTTTCACGACATGTTTTGTGCAATGCCGAGATATTCAGCTGGACATGGTGTAGAGAAGAGAGGTATAAGAAGTAGGGTTATTCTTGACTTGTCTTTCACAACACAAATGTCTTTCAATATTCAAATAGAATTTTCTAACGCACTAAGATAAGAGTAGACAAAAAAACTCATACTTGCTTTCTTTACGTCTTATTATCTGAACGTTCGGCGACATTCTTGGGAATTTACACCGATTACGCATATTGCTGAACGCATATTGCTGAATATACTGAATGCAAGATATTAGAACATATTATCAACATCGCGCAAGGTGTGTAGTATTACAACATAGACGAACAGATTTGCATCACCATTAAGCTACCTATTGCTAGACCGAACGATTCCGGGGCTTATTCCAGATCAATGAGCACACATCGGTTATAAGAATTCGCTATCTACGTTATCAAAGAAATTATTACGGGTTTGATAGGAATATAACAGTTGAGAGAGGAGAGCAACACAAACATATACACATACCGATTTGTTTGTTGTTGTAAGAGACATCACCACAATAGCAATCTTATCTCACACATTCATTTTGGAATTTGTAAGAAACAGAAAAGACTATTTGTAGTGTTACAGAACGTTAAAATTACTAGTTTTCATGTTGTTCAAAAAGATACGCACTGTTTATTATAGCTATGTTCCTAGCAATCTGTACTATTCTACGAAGGTTAATGGCTAAAGAGTCAGCTACTGTAATCAATTGTTGGACAGAGTAAATTATAATTACTAACGCTGTATAGGCTTAGCACCCGCGTTGAACCCTACATGCGGTATACCCCCTGCTAGCTTAAAACGAAACAGCCTGGGTATGCACCGCGCCACATATGCAGTAACCTATTGTCTTGCAACTTAGGCGCCCTGCCAATTTTAAATGCAGCTTTGGCCCCCATCTTGTTAAGAATGCGTTGAGAATGTGCGGTCTTGATCTTGACAAGAACTGGACAAGTATTTAACTACACATACTCATAGCGATATACAACCACTTTGCCCCCTTATGGATTGTACACCAACGACAGCTTCGCGGACTACCGAGCAAACTCCGTTCAACCCTTCTGAATCCAAAAACCTACGAACGGCTGACCGCTGGCATGTGTCTCTCCAAACTCCTCTTGGAATCGGATCGTTTCTGCTTCTTGGTATTGCGTCTGCTCTAACACACCACTTCTACTACACCTCTTTGGATGGCCGTCCAGTGGCGGAAACAACTCAGGAATGGGCAGTCCGAGTGGGTACAGGCCTTGCGGTTCTTGCCAAAGCTTGCCTTATCGCTAGTGCAGCCATGTCCTATCAACAGCATTATTGGAGAGTGTTGCGCACTCGTCCCATATCGATTCGTGGCATTGACGCCATGATGAATCTACTTGCAAACCCTACTTGTTTCTTCAACTGGGAAATCATACGAAATGCTTGGACATCTGCTGCCATTGCACTAGCAATATGGTAAAATACCTACTTGCAGAGTCACGGTTCCTATTGCGTTCAAATTGTTGACCATATCAGGTGTATACCTCTTTCTACGATCATCCCACCCGCAAGTCTCACAGCCGCCATCTCTACATTTCAGGAAAGCACCATAGCCCAAGTACCTCTTGTCTCTTGGTCAGCGGTCCAATTTAGTCAGACTGGGGGGCGTAATGAATTCTCCGATGCCGGACAACCCACGTACCGCGTAGTCACGGCTTCGGCATACAGCGGCAGTATCCTTCCAATGACTGCGCTACACCCGAATTATACATATACTCTCGACTTCCTAGGACCAAGATTACGCTGCGGTGACGTAAAAAACTACACTCTGTTTAACAAGGCCAATCTCACTCATCAAGTGGCACTTGGTGAAGAATTGTTTTACAATGCCACAACTACACGCTCAGTAGACCACCTCTTTGAATTCCCTACAGAGAATTTGTATGACATATGGTTCTCTACGCCCACCCGCAACTTCACTTGCGAGACGTGGAATGTAACGTATACAGCGGATTTCTCTTTTGTCAAGGGCGAGCAGAGCATTGTTGTCACTAATGTTCGCTACGATCATCGTTTTGCTGCAGACGACTCAGGTTCTGGCGATCTATGTCCGTTCGATTGGTGTGGATACAAAGGTTGGTATACGGCAGTCGCATCAATGGTTACCGGTGAGGCATGGACAGGAGGAGCCTATGGCACTTCGAAAATAACGACCCGCGCTTTCCAGACCGCTCTGATCGGGTGTCCTGAAATGCGCCCTGCAGCAGCAATGTCAAGAATTTTGGGAGTGCAGTGTCCCGGCCCGTCTCTAGAGTGGGCTGTAGAGGCACTCAGCGAAAACGCTACCTTGAGCTTTTTCGGGGCTCTACCATCAGTGTGAGTGTCTTCTATGTTATACTAAGACTCTTATACTCACAACCCTTAGCTATACGCCTGAGGTAAAGTATGACTCGCACGGCATAGAAGCAAACGTCACCGTCGCCAACATCACTACTACCCCGGCCAATCTCACGATCTTTACTGCACAGCTAGTCCATACCTACAACGCACGACCACTAGTGCTCTCCTATTCTGCTGCAGTATTTGCCACCATCGTTATCCTGCTTGCAGGTATCTGTGCTATTTGGTCCAACGGTATTAGCCATTCAAGCTCGTTCTCCGGAATAGTTTGTACAACGCGTAACAAGGAGCTCGATGAATTGGCGCAGGGCCATTGCCTGGGTGCGGAGCCTATCGAGAAGAACATCGCAAAACAAAAGCTGCAGTATGGCTTGCTAAATTTCCATAGCAGTAATACAGGGGATATGACTAGCAGTGTACAACATGCTGCATTTGGATTTCCGGGCAGTGTTGTTAGACTGAGAAAGGGCAATCATTACGAATAAAGGGCACTTTGAGACTCTACGAGACCTAAGTCGCTTGCTATATAACTATCAAATTGTCTCACTGTAGTAGTTAATGTTGTTGCATAGGATTTATAGGGGTAGTGGCTAAGCAGGAAAAGATAAGTGTTCCGCTGTTCGACAGACATAACTTTGATCTTCTCGTACTATTCTTTACCAGCCTACGCAATATCCTTAAACTTCTGCTTGAGCGCACACCCACTCTCTTTCTACACAAACAGAGACTCGGATTTACTCTTGCAACGCGTGCAACTGGCAATATTTTTCGTGACTACCATGGTAAATTGGGTGATATTTTCCGAGAACAGTGTTGTACGGAGCGAATGCTTGTTTATACATATAGCAGAACTCATTGTAGCAAAGCTAATTTACAAGAAAACAAGCGAGAACGAGCTTATCAGCGTGTCGGGATGCTTAGGCCCGGGCACCTTTCTCTTTGATGTCTGCTCTTGTTGGTGCGTTGTTTCTGCTGCTGAATATCGTTTGTAGCTTACTTGACAACGTTAAATTCGATCTAGAATTAACTGGCATGTTGTCTTGTCTATTTCACTATTATACTTTGCCATACAGATTGCGTTGGAGAAGTATCTCATCAATATCTCGTCCTTCACATATCCACTGTGCGTCACTAGCTCCTTGAGCCGTTCCACTGCTGTGCTCATCCATGTTGCACGCTTGTCATGTCCATCCAAGCAGATCAATATACGTCGAAGAACCTGCCTCTGCAACCCTTATATCGTTTGTGGGCGCTGTGTATACCCTGCTAGTTTTCCTACCGCTCTTCTGTGGTGCACCGAGGAGCCTTCAGAAGGCGATGGCGATTCAGGAATGTTGATGCTGTACATGTACGCTGTATGCGAGAGGTGCTCCGCAGTAAGCCAGTGGTATCTGCACATCTGGTCAACTGAAAAGTACCACCTCTTCGCGGTTGCATTGTCTGATTATTTATAGCTGCTTGGGCTTTTAAAGGACTCGTCTAAGAGCTGGGTTTCGACACGAGCTTATTAAAACTATAATTTGTAACCAAACACTAACATATCATTGTTATTAGTAGAAGCGGCTGCTTGCATAAGAGCAAACGGTGGAAATGCGTCTAGCTCTAACAATTAGGCAACAATCGTCTCGTCATTGAGCAATGCCTACTTCGTTATCAGCTATGTTGGTAGCTGTTTGGCTTTGGCTATGCACAGATTATTCAGCCTTAAGGCACGGCTCTACGTTTTAATTTCAGCTACCCTCCTACAGTAAGTAATCATAACAATCACATATGTGTTTTAGTAGTTACGGTTCTATTACCAATACTTAAATATGTAGGAATATACTTACACAATTATAGTTTCTATAATAAAGAAGTCTCTGCATCTTGCAATAAAACACTACACTAATAGTACGGTGGTAAATGGGTTGGGGTTGGGTTAGGGCTGGGTCTTACGTAAACCCAAATAGCTGGCTAAGGCTAAGGTTATGGAAGAGCCCCTCTACTAGGCATAGAAGGAGGTCATGACACAATTTTCACCATTCTTATACGCTGTTCTAGGTTTTGCTTTGTTATAAAGTGTATTATATTCGGATTTTGAATGAAGAAGTAGATGAAGCAATTTGTAAAGCAGCGCAAATTTTGTTTAGTACAATTACCGACCAATCCACGGCCACACGCTGCGTTTTAAACTACTCCAGCGGCTTTAACAATCCTTCCCAAATTGCCCGACTCTTCACACATCTGACGGAACACGGCCTCGGGACCTCTGCGTTGGAGAAGCTCACTAGGCGATCCATTTTCGACAATACGGCCGGCATGCAGAACGATGACGCGGTCATAGTCCGCGATTGTGTGCAGGCGATGTGCAATAGTCAGTAGTGTCGTGTTAGCCGACACGCTCGAACGCAGCGTCTCCTGGGTTAGAGCATCAGTGTCGTGGTCGATGGACGCTGTGGCCTCGTCGAGGACTAGAACGCGGGACTTTCGCACGAGCGCTCTGGCGATACAGAGAAGTTGCCTCTGTCCCAGCGATAGGCTGCCGATTGTACTGTCGAGGTTCGTGCTAGTCATCATCTCAGTCAAGCGCACGCTTTGTAGAGCGGCAGTTAGATCCTCGTCGCTGTGGCGGTGCAGGGGATCGAGATTCTCGCGCAGACTGCCCTTGAAGATGGAGGGATCCTGGGGTACCACTGTCACAGCCTGACGAAGCTGCTCCATCTTGAGCGATGCAATGTCCACGCCGTCGAGCTCAATCTGGCCATTATCTGCCTCGAGACCTCTTATCAAAGCGAGCGTGAGGGTACTCTTTCCGGCGCCGGTACGCCCTACGACGGCGACTCGCTGTCCAGCGTGCGCCTCAAAATCAATGTCTTGCAGAACTGGTTCCAGACCTGGCGCGTATCGCGTCGTGTACTGTCGGAACCGAATGCCAGTTTCCAATGGTTGTCCTGGGGAAAGAGCCTTGCCGAGCTTCAGTGGTTCAGTCGCCTCCTGCTCGACTTCACCGTATTCAATGATTCTCTCTACCGAGTTGAAGCTCTGTTGAACCTCGGCGTAGAGCTGCACAAAGTAGAAGATATTCTCAGTGAATGTTGCGGCATAGGTTAGCACGAGACCCGCAGCTCCGGGGTCGATGGAGTTTTTCTCCCAAAGAATGAAGACACCAACAAACGACGATATAAGAGCGCTCATGCAGCTGATCCGGAAAGACAGCCATTCCTTGCTGGCCCAGAGTAGGATATGCGGGCGGTTGTAGTAATCGACAAGGTCTTAGATCTGAGTTGTGAATGATGCGGCCCGGCCGTACGCACGTACGCTTACGTACCCCCTCAGGGATTCTCCAAATTGCTGATATAGAGGAGACCTCTCTACTGACTCAATGCGCTTCAGATCTCTTGAGGCGTTAATATACACCGCCGCGATAGCATAGTAAGCGAGACAGATGAAGACAGCGACGATGAGAAAAGCCGGCAACACCACCGAGATAAGGCCAATGACCATGATGAGGGATGACAGGATGTGAAATGTGCTAATGGCGTACGGAGCAAGCTCCTGATCCATTGCTTCAATGTCCTTGGAGAAGCGGTTAATGATCTGTCCTAGAGGGGTGCGGTCGAAGAAAGCCAGTTTCGCGTAGAGTATCGCAGATAAGAGACGCTCATGGATTCGTGCGGTCGCCCTCAGGGCGCCGTAGAATGTGACGGTATCGCGGAAGAAGGAAACGAGAACGAATGCAACGCAAATCGCAGTGTAGATTCCAAGGTAGAACAACGCGTCGACAGATTCAATGGCACCCGTATCTTTTGGCAAACGATCGTACTGATGCGCCCATTCCTTAATCCAGAGACTGGTCCCAAGAGAAGCCAGTTGTTGCCCCGCAAACGCTATGGCGACGATAACCCAGTACAAGACGGGGCCCATGGACATGATGTAAGATTTGATCACTGCCCAGCTAACGGCACCGCTGAACTTGCCTTCTTCATAATCACGCTCGGCTTCCCCGGAAGGATCCTCTGCCTCTACCTCTTCCTGTTGTGGGGGCTTTGAAGGAATCACAGGACTCGGGGTGCCAGAAGCAGAAGGGGAGGTGGACTCGACATAAGGAGGGCTTGACAATAGTTGCTGGGTGTCTTGATCCATGACGTCTGCAGCAACGATACCAGCCTTGACAAGCTCATCTGGTGTGCCTTGCCCTTTGACATGACCGTTGTCGAGATAGACGGCGAAGTCGCAGTGAGGAATGGCTAGATGGGTGTGATGGGTAGCAAGAACACAAGTGCGACCCTTCATCAGGGGCCCTTTGATGGCGTTGAAAAACATGTGTTTTGCCGTGCGTGAGTCGACTGCACTCAGGCAGTCGTCTAGAAAAACATTACGAGCATGGCTATACAGTGCTCGCGCCAGAGAAACCCGCTGCTTCTGACCTCCAGACAACCGACTTCCTTTCTCGCCAGCCAGTGTTTGGTCGCCTTTGTCGAGCATAGCAAGATCTTGAGTGAGGGCAACTGCATCAAGGACTGTCTGGTATCGTTGCCTGTTCATAGGCAATCCGAAAAGGATGTTTGCCATAATAGTCCCATTCTGAATCCAGGGTTCTTGGGGACAGAAAGATGTTGCATCCGAAGGATCATCCTGCCGGCGAGGAACCAGCACTCGACCACGTAGCAAATCCATCTCTCCTAGCAACGCGTATAATAGGGAAGACTTGCCGGATCCACTAGGTCCAAATACGACATTCAATCCTTCCAGCCGGAAATCGACTTTCAGACTAGTGAGTTTGAAGGGCTGCTCGGAAGTTATGTCGATGAGCTGCTCGGTTGTATTTCCGTCGACCTTTTGTTCACCGGTCGGCCATTCGAGAGTGGCGTTATCAAACCCCAGTTCTGGCCCGTCACTCGCCTCAAACTGGCGATACTTAGTCGTCTCGTTTTCCTTCAGAAACTTGTCAATGCGCAAGACGGAAACATTGGCTTGAAGCAAGAACGATATCATGTCTGAAATACGATCGAGAGGTGCCCTCAAGACGGCGAAAACAGCCAACGTAGGGAAAGCAATAGACGTCTCCAGCGATTTCCCGGCAACAACAGTGTAGAAGAACAAGGTGGTTATGGTGATAATCATAGGAATGCAGTACCAGACAGTCATGGAAAGTGACCACCAGATGTAGCGCCAGCGCAATTTCTGGAGCTCAGCTCCTCTCAGCGCAAGTATACGAGTCTTGAAACCTTTTTCCCAGGCGCTAAATTTGACGATCCGAATATTGGACATGAGCTCGCTGCTGGCCTGGACACGAGCATCTGTGGCGGTCAAGACTTCGCCCTGAGCTTCCCCCTGTTTTTTGACCAGTAATATGTTCAGGGGTAGCAGAACAATCATGAGTATGACGCCCGCGACTCCGCTCACTCCGAGGATGTTGTAGAGCAAGCATGTCGCGATGATGATTTGCAATGGCACAGTAACCCAGACGAGATGCATATAGGCACCAACTTCACTGACCTTTGTTGTGTCAACAGCCATCAGATTGAGGATGTTGCCATCGCTCGCATATGTGTTTTTTTCGTCAGAGTCGTCTTCATCGCCGCTTTCCTCGCCAAGATTCGTCATTTTCTTTCGCAACAACTTCGCATATATTTCGCCGATGAGAATTGCTCGTAGTTTGGCACTAATTGTCCGACCAACCCACTCGCACTGTGTTTCGGCAAGACCTGTTAGAAGACCAGCGACAAGAAGGCTGAAGGCGCAAAGCCAGGCTGTGCTGTAGCGCATCGAGTCTGGGTATTGTAGATACTGAACAATGAGTCGCAAGAACAATACTGGAAGAAAAACAACCACGCTCATGCTCACAGCCCATGCTCCTTGAAGCAAGAGGTCATACTTGAAGAACCTCAGTAGTCTTTGAAGAAGTGAAAAAGAAGCGGTGGCATGAGCTCGGAATGATGGGCCTAGATTTGCACATTTCTGATCATGAGCGAGGTCAGAGAGATCGCGGACTTCGACAGTGCTACGATATCCCTTCCATACTAAACCACCGACCCAAGACAAGGCGAGGCGAGATGCTAGGCTGGCGGTTTCCGTCTTTGCGGGCCTTGTGTTAATGATCGTACCCTCTTGGAGTGACAACGGGTCTACCGGCGTCCTTGAAGCGAATAGATGAAGGAAGACCAACAAGGTGAAGAGACCAAAGCGGACAAGGATCACCGTGACCAAATTAGTTTCAGGGTTGGGAAACACAATGACCATGTGTACACCTATAAGGAGACAAATCCACTAAACGAAGTACAAGGCAGTGCCATGTGACCAGTAACGGGAAAACAGAGTTGAGCGCGCAGGTGTAACCCACATAGAAGATGAAACCAGTATGAGAAGATAAGTCGAAAATAATATCATGGCCAAAGACTGCCACATCTCCACTTCGGCCTTGCCTGAAAGCGAGTTAAATAGAAGCAGCACGCCAAGGACAAGGTTTGCCCCAATGGCGAGCCCCTCGACGAGTACCAGTGACAGACCGTAATGCGTGACATCTTGATGCTGGAAGTCACGACCACTGAGCACTCACTGCAAATCCGGGCAAGTTACGATTCGAAAATCATTCCCGCGAGCCGGATGCAGCGTATGATCTCGCAATGGGTGTACTTGAGCAACTCACAGGAAAGGCGACACAAGCACCTCCAATAACTCTCAATGAGCTTTCCAGTGTATGCCCGCAAGATCTGGATACAATATGGCAGCGAAACCAACATTTGCCCGCTCTTGTCAACGAGCGGGTACATGACATAATCTCCAGCGTTGCATCGCAACGACCTGAAGCGCTTGCGATCCATTCGTGGGATGGTCAGTTGACTTACGGAGAACTCGATCGACTTTCAACATTGTTGGCGCATGAATTGATGTCCAGTAGCGTCAGACCAGGGAGCTTTGTCCCTCTCTTGTTCGAGAAGAGTCTCTGGGCTTCCGTGTCTATGATCGGTGTTATTAAGGCCGGCGCTGCTTTTGTTCCTCTCGACGCTGAACATCCGGAGGGTAGATTGAGAGCAGTGATGCAGAGCCTCAAGAGTGAAATCATCTTGTGTTCCGCTCAGACAAGAGACCTTGCTGCACGTCTTGCACCCGATGCCAGGATAGTCGGCACATCCCTGACCGACGAGTGTTCGAGAATTGGCCACAACGCAATCGTTGCTGATATGATAAACTCTCAACCCTCTGATCTCGCATACGCGGTATTCACATCTGGAAGCACCGGAATCCCGAAGGGTGTAAGAATTACCCACGCAAACCTGGCCTCAGTGCTACGCTATCAGCCGGAGACGCTGGGATTCCAATCGACAACAAGGTCACTAGACAGCTCGTCTTACTCCTTCGACGCCGGCATATTCAACCTATTTTACACTCTTGTCCAAGGAGGTTGCCTCTGCGTCCCTAGTGATAACTCTCGTAAGGGGGATCTTGGAGCTTTTATGAGAGAATACAAAGTCAATCTCGCGCAGCTAACCCCATCTGTAGTCAGATCGATGGATCCTGCATCCTTGCCAGATCTCAAACACCTTATACTCACCGGAGAGCCTCTCACACAAGGCGACATCACTACCTGGGCTCCTCATTTATGTCTTGTCAATGTGTATGGACCGACTGAATGCACCATTATGTGTTCGGCAGCATCGGATGTTGCTAGCAGTTCGAAAGCTTATAACATCGGACGCGGTCTAGGTGCCAACCTTTGGCTGACCAAGCTCAACCGCCCAATGGATCTCTGTCCTGTAGGCGGGATTGGCGAAATTCTGATCGAAGGACCTTTGGTAGGAGCAGGCTATGTTGGCAAAGAAAATGAAGACCACCCGTCGCTTGTAGTCAACCCGCCATGGCTTGTTTCCGGCACGACAGATCAGCCCGGAAGGCACGGAAGATTGTTCCGTACTGGCGACATGGGGAAATATGCCGACGATGGAACAATAGTATACATCGGGCGTATCGGATCCGAAGTGAAGCTGAGGAGCCAGAGAGTGAACTTAGCCGAAGTCGAAGACAACTTACGGCGTACAATGCCGCAGGATATGGAGCTTGCCGCCGAGGTAGTATCCATGAGGTGGGGACCAAAGAACCTGACACGCCAGATTCTGTTGTCATTCGTGAGTCATGCTCATGACCACGATACAAGCGTCCTCGAAGAAAGGCTCCAAGAGCTTGGTCCCAAAGTCGACATCCGTCTCGGCAAGGCTTTGGCAGCATATCTCAAACCAGAGGCCTTTGTGTCGTTACCAAGGATGCCGAAGACCTCTTCGCAAAAGACAGATAGACTTCGACTGAAGGAGATCGGGGCACGCCTCCAACCTTCCCAACTCATCTGGATTGGAGGTAATCAGGAGAAAGTATCGCGGACGCCTCCAGCTACCCAGATGGAGCGAGATCTAGCCTCATTCTGGGCCGAGATTCTGGGCCTTGGCCTGGAGTCGATAGGGCAGGAAGACTCGTTTTTCAGACTTGGTGGTGACTCCATCGGAGTGATGCGCCTCACTACAATCGCGCACAAGAACGGCTTTTCGGTAACAGCCAAAGACGTCTTCAAGTCCCCGCAACTGAGCTAACTCGCGATCACGATGAAGCCCACAAGAGAGATTCTAGGTAACGACACTGTGTCATATATGCCTTTTACGCTCCTCCCGGATGGGGTTGATCGTGACGTCCTAGTCAAAGAATTTGTCCTGCCGGTCATTGGTGTTCCTTCCGATCAAGTCATAGATATTCTCCCGGCCAACCAATTTCAAAGGGATTGCATGAATAGTACGACAGAGCCCTTCGGATTACAGTACGCCTATATGGACATCCAACCTCACATCAGTTGGGAGAAGCTGGTCTCCTCTTGTCGGAAGGCGGTCCAATCCTTCGAAGGTATGCGGTCGCAATTTGTGAAAAACGGCAACGACTACTATCAAGTAACACTTCGTGATGCGCCTCTTCTTGTTGAAGAAATCTCTACTACGGAACAGATGACCAAGTTTTGCAACGAGTACTGTCTGAACGACCCGCGTAAAGCGGTCATTGGAGACATAACGACAAAGCTTACTCTCGTCCACATTGGAAGGAGTCGCCGGCGTGTGATCATGCGTATCTCCCACGCACAATACGATGGGTGGTGCACCGAACAGGTATTCCGAGCTCTTGAGGCAACTTACAACGATGAAGATTTGCTCCCCACGCCTCCGTTCTCGCAATTGCTCCACCATCGCAGTTTGATGGCAAAAGAGTCGCGAAAATACTGGCGCTCAGAGCTGGAAGGGACAACAAATGTGACTGCGCCTCTAATTCACAAACCAGGCAAGGGAATCAGAACATTGCGTACGATCTCTATGCCTACCTATGGCATGGAAGGAAATGATAGACGCACGCGGCCTGCCGTTGTGATCAACGTCGCCTGGGCCCTTGTTCTATCAGAGCTGACTGACAACAGCGATATCGTCTTTGGAAATGTTACCACGGGACGAAATGGGAGCATGCCTGGTCTTCATGAGGTGGTAGGACCTTGCGTCAACATGGTACCTTTACGGCTGGACGTCCTTTGTGAGAGCGGCAGCCGTGCATGGACGCAAGAGCGATTGGTAGAGCTTGTGGAGGCATCAGCACCTTAGGTGGATGAACGGCTTCCCTACGAGGGGCTCGACTGGGATGATCTTGCCAAAAGTTGTACAACCATCCTTGCATATCCTGAAGACGGCGCATTGCGGATCTGGCTTCATGCCACCCCTGAGGAGATTGGGGACGAAGGTGCTGACGATATACTTGAGAAGATTGCAGGTACGCAAGGCAAATTGTGTCCGCCTTGTAAGTAGATAGATCGTTTTTTTCAGAGGCTTTTATAGTGTGATCGTAGAGTGATAGTCTTTCGCTAGCTCAAAAAGTATTATAATCTTGTACTTTTTCGCTCAATCCTCATCAAGCCCGACTTGCAAGCATAGTAGCCGGACCCAAATACACGCTGCCATGTCGTATCGACAGGGACGTGTCGGGATTGGAAGCTTGTTATTGCCGAACGTTAAGTCCGTTAACTACATTCACCGTGGGATCGCACTGGCTTAGTGCATGTGCTTGGAGATAATGATTGGGTATATAAACCATAAGATGAAGGCTGATGTCAACTTATGAATTACACTACTAGTGAGCAAGATTGTCTAAACATGTGTGAGCCAATTATGGAGTGAGGTGAGCATGTCTTACAACCATGACGCTGTCACATCGTGATTAAGTCCGTTCCGCCCTCATCTAAGTCCGGGTAACGGCTTTACAGTAACCCTTATTTGAAGGATGGCGGAGATATAAAATCATCACGATGTTACGTGAATGAGATTGTCTCCGCATCTCATTTCCTATACGACAGATACCCCATACCCGACCTCATCTGATATCCTCCACGATGTCTCAGTCCAAGCATATTTTTATCACTGGCGGCAGTGGATATATTGGCTCCGTTGTCATATCATTTGCTATTCAGCAAGGCTACACTATCCACGCGCTTTCCCGCAGTGAGGCCAGCGATGATAAGTTGCGTGCTCTTGGCGCAACTCCGATCCGCGGCGATCTCACCACCCATTCCATTCTCATGAAGGCAGCACGCGATGCTGACATCGTGATCTCTTTCGCCGATGCCAAAGCCGGAAATTGGGCTATGACGCAGGAAGAGCGCCTACGCACCAACAACGCAGCTGTTCAAGCTCTTGCCAACGGATTGGAGGGCAGTAACAAGACGCTCATCGTGACCTCTGGATCATTGCTGGTCTCGGCGGATGCGGAGGGTAAAGAGACGGACGAAGAAACCACGATGTGGCCAAACTCACCATTTGGTCAAGGCGGTGAACCCTTCGCCTTGGGTTTGGGCAAAAAGAAAGGGATTAGAGTATGCGTAGTGAGGTTGGCCCCGTGGGTATACGGCCGCGGTGGAAGCGGTGTCAAGCTCTTTATGGGCAGATTCTCCCAAGCAGGGGAAGTGTTTTATGTTGGTGAAGGGAACGCGCGTACTACGACTGTGCATGTAGATGATGCTGCTAGGCTATACTTGTTGGTCGCAGAGAAGGGCAGAGCGGGTGAGGTGTATAACGCCACGTGGGAGACAAGTGTCAGTTTTCGGGAGAAGGCGGAGAGTATGGCGATGATGTTAGGAATTCCAGTGAGGAGCCAGTCGTTTGGGGAAACAGAGAAGAAGATGGGTGTATTTCTTGCAAATTTTCTGAGTTTGGAGAATAGGGCAAGCAATCGCAAAGCGAGGCAAGAATTGGGTTGGGAGATTAGGGCAGAGAAGGGGATACTAGAGGATATCAAGAGTGGATCGTACTTGAGGGTGGCGGAAGAGCTACGCAAGGCAACAGCCTGATCTTAGAAGTAGCATTACAGCTATATATCCAGATCTCATCCAGCAAACTTTCTCACCTTTTTTGAAGGGAATTATAGTTTTGAGAAATAATTACTCATAGCCGGAAATTGCTAAGTTTAACATTGTGGTATGAATGAATAAAAAGATCACCTGTCTTCAAGGGATCTCTCAATTTATAGAGATAGGAAGACTTGGATGACCTGGAGCAGCTGGGCTTCTGTTCAATTTCCTGAGACCGTAGTTGATCGCCGCGGCGATGTCCTGGTTGTTCTTCTCCAGGAACATGAAGTGCGCATTGCCCTTGATACCAATGTCGGCAAGCTTGATCCACTGGTAGTTGGTAAGGCCCATCTGCTTGAAGTACTCGACGAAGCAGTGGTCGTACGTGATATGCGGGCTGGCCTCGCCTGTGATTATGATGTAAGGCACTTTGCTGAGCTGGGTGAGCTTGTGGATAGTGCCAGTCTGGAGAATGCAGGAGCGCTTGGCCAGGTCGTCTGGTCCAACCTCAGCGGTGGTAATGGTTGAGCAGTTAGTTACTGGCGGATTGAATTGCAGCGGTGTGTATGTGAGACCACAAGGCCGAGCAGCGGTACGACCAACCCCAGCAACGGTAGTGTTTCCAATCAGAGAAGTAAATGGAATGTTGCCAGGCTCAATGTTGATGTTGGCACGCAGCAGATCAGGGCATGCGTCTGACCAGATGGCTGTATAAGTGCAACCGGCAGAATGGCAGACTGTGTATGACTGGCCAATCATGCTGAGCAGCTGGCATCCAGATGTGCGCATAGTGTTCTCCACGTTCTCGTTAGATGAAGAGATAGGAACGTTGGCGGCAGTGAAGGCGTCAAAAGCGGGATCTCCACGAGATCCGTTGCCGGGCCATTGTGTATGTATGTTTGCCTGTGGGTACTGGTCGAAGTCTTCCGGAGCTGTGAAGCCCTGCTCATTGATGATGTCTGTGGAACCAATACGTAGAGGGTACTTGGAGAGAAGCTGCTGGCCACTTCGGCCGTTGGCAGCGATATCAACAATGTAGACCTGGTAGCCTTGGTCAAGGTAGTAGGAAGCCCACCCCTTGCGATTGTCTGGCGTATTCAGCCATTCTGCGCCTGTGTTGACACCCGCGGAGACGAAGACTATCGGGTAAGGCTTGTTGACCTTTCTGGCGGGCGTCAGCTTCTCGACATAGAGTTGGTCGCTCCACATGTGCTGGCCCGGGATGCCGGAGTCGACATAGCCACCACCGATGTAGAAGAAGTCTCGCTGGTACGCGGATTCTTGGCTGTTACATCTTGGGCTGATGCCTTTGACACCACTGCAGTCGCCTGTTGGTGGATAAGATTTTGATGGAATAGACTTTGGAGGGGTGTGAGGACTACCCTTTGAAGGAGTGACGCTTGCGACGTTCATGTCATCTTGTGCTGAAGTCAGAAAGGGCAATGCTCCCAACAGCAAACCCGAGAGGATGGTACGTGAAAACATGGCTAAGTGAAAACGAGGATCACAGAAACGAATGGCCTACTGGTAGCAACAAAGGAGTGAAGTTGGCTACTGATAGAATGGCTGATAAAAGGAGGAGAGGAAAAGCTTGGGCCTAGATATGCGCAGCTCGGTCGGCAGCCTGCATCCGCTTACAGGTTGAAGGACGCGCTCCCATTCCAACGTACTGCGCTCCTGAGAAAAGCGGACATCAGTTACTGTAAACGGCCTAGTGGAGCGGTTCCATGCTGTCTTCCTGGGTATCCCGATATTCCCTCAGACCCAACGGTCTGCACTCTGCAGTGTCTGCACGAATCTGCGGGCCCAATTTGTTCAGCAGAAGAGATATTCTGCATTATGGCACGGCACGGCGAGGCTAGTGTGGGGTGAAAGATGTCTTGAAATGAGGCTGACAGAGCGTATCATAGATGTAGTATACTGAGGTACCTGGTATAAGTAGTGTACGGTGGGGACAGTGGTCTGTGTGCTCGCTAACGATAAAATTACAGGAGCAGAAGCGCGTGTTCTTCGTCTGGCTGCAAGGCCTGTACTAGTCTGTGTTTGTAGCCCTGTAAGCTACTACGCCACAGTCCCCACTGTACACTACTCATGCCGAGTAACACAGTAATGGTACCGAAGAGGTTGTCCTGAGTAAGGGTCTGGGGTGTCAATGTAACGTTTGTGAAATAGAGATAACGATCAAGGTTCCTGCTTCACTTCTACGTCGGCTAAGCGATTAAAGTCCAGGTTGCTTTATTACGAAGAAGCTGGTTCTTAGTGATGGAACAGCTCCGGCGCACAGGCCACCAACATCGTTCCGTCCCGTCTCTAAGAACTAGTCTCTTCGCATGCTGCAACATGGGCACCGACAGGTACCTGCGTGCCAGCACCCAAGCTGTTGAGCTCCGGTGTAGCCGCCTTCCGCGCGTCTCGGATGCCTTGAACGTCGAATCAAAACGAGCTCCTGTTGACAAAGCAGGAAGCGATCGTCTCTTCGACTCCACATCCTACATGGAGTGTCGAGACATCGCGCCACTCACGCTCGCTCCTCGTAAGACATGCTGGCAGGTATCCTAATAAGAATTTACTTAACCGAAACCTACGAGACTCTTTTCTTGTGGGTCTTATCTCGGCTAAAAGTCTCAGCTCGAACTTGGAGATTGGCACTGTTCAGGCTGCTCGTACGTCCAGTTTTGCATGGCAACCCCTAATGTTTTTAGTATTAACCAACTTAGGATGATCAGGTTCTCTCAGTAACAGTCCTACGCGAGAAGGTCGCTGCCACGAATTGGGAGTTCCTCCTCGTAGAAGTAAGTGGCTTTGTGCAGGGCGGTGATTGGGTGGAAAGGCCCTTATTGGGACGTCAGTTACCTTCTGATTGGGGTGCCCGTTAACACTTCCCGCTCCTCGTATGCAACACAACCCTGCCCGTACCATACCGGTGGGATGTGGCTGCATTCTTCGAACAGGACAATGGACTGAGCGAGGCTTAAAGAACAGTCATGTCCAAAGCTTCTGATTGAAGTCTTGTTCTGTCGATCTCTCTCGGAATTGCCCCAAATCCATCTGCTGTCTCTCCGTACAGTATCGTCAGGCCGAGTCAGCATAACCATAGCACAATGGTGTCTGCTTATTTCAGCACACCGCCGGCTAACGAACTCGACGAACGGATCGCCGCAGGATTATTGCTGCTGACTGGCCTTACTCCTAATATCAAGGACCCCCAAGATGGAGTTACAATTCCACCTTTCTGTCCAACAGAGAACTACCACTTTGAGACCAAAGGTCCAGCCGTCATAGTTGCACTTTCAGTGTGTATGGTCGTTCTCACGCTTGTCACCTTCCTAAGGCTGGGCATCCGATTGTTCGTCCATGGGGTCCGTTTTGGTGCCGATGACTGGCTCATCATTCCAGCGTATCTGCTCTCCATGGCTTACCCAGCGCTCCAGATTGCTATGGTTCAGTACGGCGGGGCCGGAAAGCACTTTTACGACATCACTTATCAAGAGTACTTCTATTACAAATCGGTGAGCGAGGACGACCCTGATGATCCGCCGTCACGCATAACTAATGTTGATGTGTAGCTCGCACTGTCAGCCGCGACTGTGTTCTACGTCTATGTGGGACTTGTTAAGATGAGCATTGCATTGTTCAACATTCGACTGACAACTCTTACAACGAGGTTCTGGAAGAATGTTAACTGGGCGTTTTTTGTTATATGTACGGCATACACCTTCGCAGCGTTGTTTCTGAACGTCTTCAAGTGCACCCCTCAGTACGCGAGTTTCAACTTGCTTCGCATCGCCGAGTCGGGCAAGGTACCGAAGTGTCTGTCCGTCAATTCCATAAACAGCATCCTTCGCTTGAACCTCGCGCTAGACTTCACCGCTCTCGCCATCCCAGTGATTGTACTATGGAAAGTTCAGCTGAGCTGGAAGAAGAAGGCTCGCATCTTTGGCCTGCTGTCTATTGGTCTGATTGCTTGCATCGCCTCAGTAATGACCCTTCTCTCGCGGTATACCCTGGAGAAGGATCCGCTGTGGAACTACACGACTCTACTGGCATGGATTATGGTCGAGCTAGTCGTCAGCCTCGCCGCGGCTTGTGCTCCTACCCTTGCCTATCTTCTTCCGCGCTCCATGTTCTCGAAGCATTACGCACGCAACAGCGCTAGCAAATTAACAGGCCCGCAACTGTTAAGGAACGACTACGCCTTGCGGTCACGTCCAGTAAATAGAGAAGATAGAGACAGCGAAGAGGACGAACGTCGCATCGTCGTGAAGGGAGACATTGAGATAGAGTGGCAGGATAACGAACACAGCGATGCTCACGGTTCGCAAGTGAGCGATTATACGGGCGATGATGGTATTTTATTGTGCAGACTTTGACAAGTCTTTTTATCGCTTGATGCATTCAATCCGAGGCGTGTACCAGCCTAGTATGAATGAAAATACACCTCTCGTAGAAAGAAACTAGCGATACTATTTTCCGTCTACTTTGCACTACTCCGCTACAGTTGTTGTGTGTGTGTGTGAGACATAAATCAATTGCGACGGCGAAGTCGATATTATCCAGAGCGCTTATTTCATGCATATCGATGTCCTATATGATCTACCATTCCGTACATTCCAACCCCCACTTCATTCCCTAAGAGCCTTTCAACACCCAACAACCATTTTTAATCCCCGCCTACCCAACCGCCCTCCCCCCCTCTGACAGATCATGCATACTTCCTTAGCATATCCAACACCGCCCCATTAACCTCTCTCGGATTCGTCGCGTTGAGATAATGCGCCCCGCCCTCCACAATACTCAGCCTCGCGTCCCTACTCCGCGAAAACATCTCAATCTGCTCGCGCTGCACCTGCGCCCCATACGGCGCGTCTTCGGACCCTTGTAGCCAGTACACAGGACACGTGACGTCCGCCACTCGCAGGCAGAGGCTATCGCGCTCCAGCAGGCATAGTACCGCCATGCGGGCTTTGCGCCGCCCTTCGTCGCCGGAATACACGGATTTGATGGTTTCGGTCCAGAAAGCTGTTGTGGCGGGTGTGGCGTGGGATCCGAAGCCGAAGCTGGCGACCATGTTGCACCATGTGTCGTCGATGATGTAGTCTGGTGTGGGGGTGGAACTTTTCCAAAGCTCGACGAAAGGGTGCAGGAGGGGCGTAGGGTTCCAGCAGCCCTTTTCCCGGGACTCTGTGGTTTCGGCGTCGATGGAGGTGCCGAGGGGGAGGAGGCCGAGGATCTTTTGTCGAGGCGTGAGAAAACGGACAAACTTAGTCACACACAAGCACGCCGTGAGAACAGACGGCGGGAAAACCAGAGATGAATAGCTTGACGGAGAATGAAATGAAACACAAAACATCGCAAACAAAAACCTCAAAACTCACACGCTCAGGCGCCAAAACCCCCATCCTAACCACCATCCACCCCCCCTGACTCGTCCCCATCGCAAACGCCCTCTCCACCCCCAAACAACTCATAACCTCCAGCGCCACAATCGCGCTATCCCAATACGTGAACTGCGCCACCTTCTCGGGAAAGCTCGTCTGCCCATGGCCCAGCGGCTCGATAGCGAGCAGATTAACCGCCGCGGTGAGCGCCTCGTCCGAGAATTGCGCGTCGAATAGCGCGGAGGTCATGCACATTGAGTTTATGCATATGAGGGTTGGTTTGGAGGGGTTGATTTTGGCGGCGAGGCGGTAGCCGACTGTTAGGGAGCCGAGGTGGGTTATGGAGATTTGGAGGGTTTGGGATGGCATTTTTGGTTTTTGGGGAGATGTTTGGGGTGGGGTGTTGAGGTGGAGGAGGGAAAGGGTAATCTGTGGTTTCTGGTTTTGTATGTAGTTCTTAGAGTGGAGTTCTTGAGAAGAGAATAGTTAAGTAAGGTGGGTTAGCTTGCCTAATTTGGATTAGCGTGTAACACATTGCTGTTAAGTTCTACCTAGTTAAGGGATTACTAAACGCTTACTGAATTTTATATAATATACTTAGCCCTAACAGCTTACAGAAGCTTAGGATTTAAAAAATCTAGCTATACTATATATAGCCTACGTATACTAATAATTTTTATAACCTTTATAATTTTAAGATTTACTATATAACCTAAACTTTATAATAACCTTATATTTTTATATTTTAAATAAGCTAAATTGTTAAAATAATACTACTATATTTATAGAAATATATAGCTTACTAGTTATTTAAGTTAGCTATTACTAAAGCTACTATTATACTTTATTATATAAATAACCTTAATATTAATCTTTACTATATTACCTATAAACCTCTTTACTAATATATTAAATATACTTATAATAGTAGTAATAATTACTTTATATATTTTATAATTAACTATTAAAAGCTATTACTAAAGTAGAATTTTATACTTAAGTACTACCTTAATATAATTAATACTATTAGCTTTAAAGTTTATTATAACTATATTACTACTTAGGCTAGTACCTTTTTTACTAAGTTTTTTAAAAGTAACTTAAAGCTTACTTTTACTATTAATAAAAATTAAGTAATATATTAGCTTAAAAATACCTAAAGTATAAGTATATTAAAATATTATTAATAGAGCTTAAGTATAAGCTTACTTAGTAGCTAAAAAGCTTTTACTAATAGTTTAGTAAATTATATATAGTGTTATAGACTAGCCTTAGAGTTAAGCTATTATAAGTATTAATAATAGTATTATATTCTCTAAGGAGTAGAAAAGAATCCTATATATATATATATATCTCTCTAGTCCTACTAAGCTAAAACTAAGGTATAAGTAAAGCCTAAGCCTATTATATACTCCTCTACTCTACCTCTATTTTTTTTCTATATCTTACTATACTTATTAGGTAGGTTTATTATTTTAGTACTATTTTTTTTATACTATACTAAGCTTTATAACTACTAGTAGCTTATTATATATTAGTACTATAGCTACCTATACTTATTTTTATTTTTATACTAACCTTATACCTTCTTTTTATTATAACTATTATACCTATAAAATACTACCTTAACATCTTTACTATACCTTCTTTTAACTTTTTTTATTATACTTTTTTAGCCTTTTTACGTAGCTAATTACTTTTTATTATAGCTAATATTACTTTTAATAGTACTTCTAGTATAGTAAGTACTAAGGCTTCTAGTAAAAGGCTACCTAATAATAACTAGAGTAGTTCTTTAAGCTATAATAATTCTATATATCTAGTTATTATCTTTTTATATATTTACTAATTATTAAGTAAAAGAAGCCTTACTATTATTCTAGTAATTTTAGTATATAAAGAAATTTAGAAAATAAGGCCTATAATATAGCTTTATATTATAACTAATTCTATTATAAATATATCTCTTTAATATATATCTTTAGTTACGCTAAGTATACGCCTAGTTATAGTCTTACTACCTATAAGGCTTACTATAAAAGTAAAAAGACCTATATTTTTAATAATAACCTTTTTTATATAAACTTTACTTTTTAATATATATTTTATACTTAGTATAACTTTTATAATATAAATTAAGCTAATAGGAAGCGCTATATTAAGACTTATAATACCTATAGTACTAATTAGGTAAAGCTAATAACTAGTATATATTATATTTTTACTTAAAAGTTTTATACTTTAATATATATCTTTAATAATACTTTAAAGTATACTATTTAGAAGTAAAACTTTATAGTTCTATTTAATTCTATTACTAAGACCTATTATAAAGTAGTATAGTTTCTTATTATTAAAAAGAAGTTTAAGTCTTAACTCTTTCTTTAGTTTCTTATAACTTTATTATATTTCTATAATAGGCCTAATAATTAAATAACTTATTAAATTATATATACTACTAAAGAGTAGTTCTAATACTAAGACTAATATATTATAAGTTTAAAGAATACTTTAGGCGTAGTAACTAATAACTAAACTATAATTATAGTAAGTTCTTTTTATTTTTAATATAGTACTATTACTAACCTTAATTTAAACTACCTTTAAGGCTTTTACCTACTATATTAAGGTTCTACCTTTATGCTGCTATATTAAGTATATACTTTATACTTCTACTTATTATTATTACTTTTTAGAGTATAATAATATATTATCTTTATACTATTACTATACTAGCTACTATAGGTTTAGCTCTAGTAGTAGAGTATTTTTTTAAAAGGCTAGTAGTAATTTTAGTTTATTACTTCTTATAAGTAGTTATATACTATTTTATTATTTCTTTCTATTTATACTCTATTCTTTTTAAGCTTTTTATATACCTACTCTACTCTTTTACTATTTTATAGTAGGTAGTTATACTAAGAACTCTATTATTATAAAAAGTATAAATAAGACTAAGAAAAATACTAATATAAAGAAAGAGAAGGCCTATAATACTTATATTTAGTATAATAATAGTAAAGATAATAGCTTTTAGTAAAACTTAAACCTTTTTTACTATTATAAGTTAGGTTACTATTAGAAGTTACCTTAGTATTAGGTAAGTAAGTAACTTTTTTTAAGTTTAAATTAGGCTAATTTTCTTTAAAGTTATAGTAAGGTACCTAGCTAAAACCTTTTATTTATAGTTTTATATATTAAAGCTACTCTTAGTAGTTCTAATATAACTCTAATATAATATATTATATTAATTTATTCTTTATTTTAAGCTATTATAGTATTTTATATCTCTTTATTTAGCTTTAAACTTTACTAGTACCTTTATATTCTATATATTACCTAATAAAGTCTATATTAAAGTAGCTTAACCTTTTTATTTTACTAAAGCTTATTTTTTTTCTTTTCTTTTTATATTCTTAATATATATAATTTTTTCTACTATTTATTTATTTAGGTCTTTTTCTTTTTTTTAAGAGACTAAAGTAGGTTTTAGGTAAGTATTCTTTAAAGCTTATAATAAAAAAGAGTTATTAGCTACTTTTTCTACTAGGTTTATATATACTATTTTATATAGGTTATTTAGTAGATCTAATATAACTATAAGTAAACTTAGTATATATATAACTATATACTTAACCTATAGCTAATTAAGTTTTTTACTAAAATAATTTATTTTTATATTTTATATTAAGAACTAAACTTTATTCTTTACTTTAAATTATTTTATAGGTTTTTAAAACTTATTTATAGATTCCTACTAGTATTACTATATAAAAGCTATAGCTATTTAAGCTAGGTTTACTTTCTATTTTAAGTATTCTAGAAATTATATAGCTTTACCTTTTAGAGTTCTTATAGAAACTTTAGGTAGTATAGTTTATTAAAGTAGGTTTATAGTATATCTATTTAGAAATAGGTTTAGACTTACTTTTATTATACTTAAGTTTCTATTATTTAATACTAACTAGTAGGCTAAAAGGTAGTCTAGCTATTTTATTTATTTAAAGTATACTATTACTTATAGTACTACCTAAACTTCTTAATTTAATCTTTTTATACCTTTATTAGTCTAGAAGTAATAGGCTCTTAAAAGTAGCTAGTTAATTTTTACTAAAAAGTATAGTATAGTTTTAAAGGTACCTAGCTAGTCTAAGCCTTAATCTAATATAATTAAAAAGAAGAATTTTTAAAAATACTACTATATATTATAAAAGACCTTTTTGTAGTATTTAGTAGTTATTAATATTATTACTTCTAGCTAGATATATTTAAATAGTTAATTAGTAATTATAAGAAGGTATTATAGTACCTTTACTAAGGTAGCTAGTAGGTTAACTATAAAATTTATTAAAATCTAGAACTAATACTAATTTACTACTAAAATAGGCTGTAATAATTCTTAGTACTTTTTATATTAGATATATATACTATAGTAGTAATAATTTTAAATATATTACGTAATATCTTAGAATATTCTATTTATAAGGGCACTGTAAACAGGTAATTAAGATATAAGACAAATAGGTATTTATTAAGAGATTAGACAAATTCTTAGGGTATAAGCCCTAGGAATTTATAAGTACTATATACTAGAGCTCTAAGAGCCTTACGCTTTTAGCCTAGAGGTTTACTAAAGGTAGGCTAATAGAAGCTTAGATAAAAATACCTATAATAAAGCTTTTTTTCTTCTTATAGTTTATTCTAAACTGCTAGAATTTTTAGAGTAGATAAATAAGTATTTAATTTATATAGTTACCTTAATTAAACTTTATAAAAACCTTTTATAAAAAGAAAATAGTTTAGAAGAAATTTAGTACTAAATTATTTAAGTTTTCTTTAGGCTAGTTTTTAGATCTAGCCTAAAAGTTTACTGCGCTAGGCCTATATTCTTATTATTAAGTCTTTATAACTTTAGTAAGCGTAGCCTAGTTTATTATAGGTAACTGCTAGGCCTCTATAAAGAGTTCTATTTACTATTATTTCTAGATTATAATTCTTAGAGGTATAGTTATACTTACTATGTATTATTATTAGTAACTTTATATTTATAAGTTTTGCCTTATTAGGTGCCTATTAACTATATAAATAGTTTATTAGGCTCTATTACTTCTTTAGCCCTATTCTAAGAGCTTTATAATATATAATTATATAAAGTAAAGGCTTAATATAGAGTTTACTTATAATAATTTATTATTTACTTACTTTATTATTATAGTTAGTGTTTATACTAACTTACGTAATTATTTATAAGCTAGTATTATTTTTATAAGGTATATTATAAGTAGCCTTCTTAGAAGTTTATTTTATATAGGTAGTATTTACTTTAATATTAGTGCCTATTATACTCTCTATAGAGTTTATAACTATAGTTTTCTTATAAAGGTCTATTAGCTCTCTATAAGTAGTTTACTAGGTATAGTTCTAGTGTCTTAGGTAGCGTTTATTATTTATTTA